TGACCACAGACCACTTCTCAGTTCCTATGCTTTCTGGCTGATGGTTTGGTCACTTTTGAATGCTGGCGGTGCTTTCACTCTAGTGGTAGCATGAGACGGAGTCTACAACCCACACGTGGCTCAGGGAGTGCAGCTCACCCAGGATGGCACATCAATGCGAGCTGTGGCAAGAAGGTTTGCTGTGTCTGTCAGCGTAGTGTCCAGAGCATGGAGGCGCTACCAGGAGACAGGCCAGTACATCAGGAGACGTGGAGGAGGCCGTAGGAGGGCAACAACCCAGCATCAGGACCGCTACCTCTGCCTTTGGGCAAGGAAGGACAGGAGGAGCACTGCCAGAGCCCTGCAAAATGACCTCCAGCAGGCCACAAATGTGCATGTGGGTGCTCAAACGGTCAGAAACAGATTCCATGAGGGTGGTATAAGGGCCCGACATCCACAGGTGGGGGTTGTGCTTACAGCCCAACACCGTGCAGGATGTTTGGCATTTGCCAGAGAACACCAAGATTGGCAAATTTGCCACTGGCGCCCTGTGCTCTTCACAGATGAAAGCAGGTTCACACTGAGCACATGTAACAAACGTGACAGGGTCTAGAGACGCCGTGGAGAACGTTCTGCTGCCTGCAATATCCTCCAGCATGACCGGTTTGGCAGTGGGTCAGTAATGGTGTGGGGTGGCATTTCTTTAGGTGGCCACACAGCCCTCCATGTGCTCGCCAGAGGTAGCCTGACTGCCATTAGGTACCGAGATGAGATCCTCAGACCCCTTGTGAGACCATATGCTGGTGTGGTTGGCCCTGGGTTCCGCCTAATGCAAGGCAATGCTAGACTTCATGTGGCTGGAGCGTGTCAGCAGTTCCTGCAAGACGAAGGCATTGATGTTATGGACTGGCCCGCCCATTCCCCAGACCTGAATCCAATTGAGCACATCTGGGACATCATGTCTCGCTCCATCCACCAACGCCACGTTGCACCACAGACTGTCCAGGAGTTGGGGGATGCTTTAGTCCAGATGTGGGAGGAGATCCCCCAGGAGACCATCCGCCACCTCATCAGGAGCATACAGGCACGTGGAGGCCACATACACTACTGAGCCTCATTTTGACTTGTTTTAAGGACATTACATCAAAGTTGGATCAGCCTGTCGTGTTTTTTTGCACTTTAATTTTGAGTGTAACTCCAAATCCAGACCTCCCTGGGTTGCTAAATTTGATTTCCATTGATAATTTTTGTGTGATTTTGTTGTCAGCACATTCAACTATGTAATGAACAAAGTATTTAATAAGAATATTTCATTCATTCAGATCTAGCATGTCTTATTTTTGTGTTCCTTTTATTTTTTTGAGCAATGTAATAGCAATAGCACTTAGACTAATATACCGCTTCACAGTGTTTTACAGCCCTCTCTAAGCAGTTTACAGAGTCAGCCTATCGCCCCCAACAATCGGGGTCCTCATTTTATCCACCTTGGAAGGATGGAAAGCTGAGTCAATATTGATATATAGCTTTCATATTTTTTGCCTCTACTTGTACACTGCCCAGAGTCATGCTATGACAGAGGTGGGCAGTAAATACAAATAAATACAAATACAAATACAAAACGACAAACCCAAATGCAACAAGTTATGGTCAGCTCATGCATAAACCCAACTGTTGTTTGGAAATCATGGTTTATAACGGTTGTGTGAATCTGTGCATGGCTAAATAAGCCCTGCCTCAGTCCAGTGATTGAAACAAGTATCTCTGCTCTCGACTTGTCCGTGTTTTTGGTTTTCATGTTGATGTATTTTTTTCTCACTGTTTTCTTTTGTCATTGATTAGTTTATTGTTTTATTATTTTACTTCTGTTTATACGCCTTTCATTTTTCTTCATTTTTATTATTGTAAGCCATCTAGAGTAGGCCTATGGGGAGATAGGTGGCAAATAAATTTAACCAATAAATACATAAATGGAAGTCCCCAGCCACTGTGTGAAGCTTGAAACCCAAGACTTTCTCTCTACTGGAGACAGACAGTTGGGTTCTTTCCTACTGGTAGTCCTCGACTTGCAACCACAATGGAGCCCAACATTTCTGTTGCCAAGCGAGACGTTGGTTAAATGAGTTTGGCCCCATTTTACAACCTCCCTTGCCACAGTTGTAAAGTGAATCACTGCAGGTGTTAAAGATAGTATAACACAATGGTTCGTCGAATCTGGCTTCCCCAACTGGCTTTGCTGGTCAGAAGATCTTGGGACACTGTAAGCGTCATAAATACGAACCACTTGCCAAGCGTTCGAATTTTGAGCCCGTGACCATGGGGGTGCTGCAATGGTCGTTAAATGTGAAAAACGGTCATAAGCCACTATTTTCAATGCCATTGTAAGTTCGAACGGTCATTAAACCAAGCCGAGGACTACCTGCATAGCGTGAAATGGCAGAGATGCTCAAGATGTACAAGGGATGGAAAGATGGAGCTTTGGGGTTGTTTGTTTTTTAACCATGTCAATGTGTGGCTTACCCCCTTTTTTTTAGACATGAAGCTTCAGGAGTTTTCTGTGGAGGAGCAGAACGTGCTGAAAATTCTCACCCAAGTGAATGTCGTCCGACGGGAATGTGAGATCGTAAGTGGGGGGAGGGGAGGGGAGAGAGAGGGAGGGAGTTGGTTCCCAGGGCCCCAAATGGACAAGTGGACAAGTGAGGATTCGGAGGCTGACAGACTCAGTTCCAGTCCACTGTTTTTGCTGGTCCTCTGTGAGGATAAGAGGGGAGGAGAGGAGAGAATAGAATTCTTTCTTGGCCAAGTGCGATTGGACGCACAAGGAATTTGTCTTTGGTGCATAAGCTCTCAGTGTACATAAAAAGAAAAAAACATACATTCATCAAGAATCATAAGACAGAACATTTAGTGATAGTCACAGGTTACTAATAACCAGATCATACTAGGAAACAAATAAAGCAATATAAATTGTAGAGATACAAGCAACAAGGATATAGTCATAAGTGGGAAGAGATAGGTAATAGGAAGGATGAGAAGAAGAATAGTAATACAGTCTTGGTAAATAGTTTGACAGTGTTGTGGGAATTATTTGTTTAGCAGAGTGATGGCATTTGGGGAAAAAATTCCCCTTGTGTCTAGTTGTTCTGGTGTGCAGGGCTCTATAGTGTCCTTTTGAGGGAAGGAGTTGAAACAGTTCATGTCCGGGATGCGAGGGGTCTGTAGATATTTTCACAGCCCTCTTTTTGACTCGTGCAGTATACAGGTCCTCCATGGAAGGCAGGTTGGTAGTAATTGTTTTTTTCTGCAGTCCTAATTACTCTCTGAAGTCTGTCTTGTTTGGTAATCCCATGATGTGTGTTCTTTTTTTAAAAATAAAAAACAACCTCAGAGACTGGAGGCAACTGATTTTGATGAGAAGAAGGAAATAAATAAGCGGAAGCAGATGATCCTGGAAGGAAAGGTAAGGTGGAAGAATCCTCTTGCTGCCAGGGCAGGCAGTGGCTAAGCGGGAATCACCCCAGTCCTGTCCCTCCCATCAGTGGAGGCTTGGAGATCAGAAGCAACCGATGGGTCTCCAACGTTGGCAACTTTACGACTTGTGGATTCCAACTCCCAGAATTCCTCAGACAGCACGTGCCGTCTGAGGAATTCTGGGAGTTGGAGTCCACAAGTCGTAAAGTTGCCAAGGTTGGAGACCCCTACGACAGAACACACTACCAAGAACTTATTGACAGGGCAGGCCACTGATATATAAACAGAGGCCAAACCCCTCTCCCTTCTAACACTGATGATATTACCTACTTGGGTAATGAAATATCTGCAAGAAAAATACCAAATTCAGAGAGAGCACCAAGGACCCTACTCTTTTCCTTTTTGTGATTGTGGTGTTTTTTTTTCATCCTTGGTTTGCTTTGACCCAAAGCACAACTGCTATAAAACAAGCAAGCAAGCTTGCTGGTCACTATGGTTTGCTGCGAGTTTCCATCTCTGGTTTATCCAAAGATACCACGGTTAGTGGATGGCTGGGTTTGTGCAGTGTGCTAAACCACGGCTTCAGAATAAGCGCACTGGTTAGCCATGACACAGGCTGCTAGATACGATCTGCCAAGCATAAGGTGTGGCTTTACACCCAACACATTAAGGTGGAACCAGCCTACGTTATAAATGCGAACTCAGTCTTAACACAGTAGTGGCTGTGAAATCCGTGTCTCCATGAAGTGGTGATGGTTGGGGACAGGCGTGGGATACAAATTTCTTAACAATCGGTTCTGTGGACGTGGCCTAATTTCTGGGTGTGGGTTGGTGGTCATGTGACTGGCTGGGCATGGCTTGTATGTAAATATTATAAATATATAAGTAAAGATTGAATTTTTTTTTTTTTTAGAAAAGAGCAACCTTTACTCAAAATCAGGCAAAGCAGGCAGGCAGATTGAGCTGCTTGCAGAATCACAGATTCCCTCAGAGATCTACCTTTCTGCAATCTGCTGCCTGAGTCTGCACTGAAAACTAGAAGCTTCAATCCTAAGGAAGGTTCAGCTCTGCTCTCAGGCCACTTCTCCCTCCCCCAACCCTCTGAATACCACCCCTGATTGGGCCTCAGGGAAGCCTCCTGGGTGGGTGGGGTGGGTGGGGAGGGGAGGGGCCAGCTAATGGCGTGATTTGCCGGTTCTCCGAACTGCGCAGAATCGTAACAACCGGTTCTATAGAACTGGTCCGAACTGGTCGAATCCCACCCCTGGTTGGGGAGCAGACAGTTTTGGGGAGAAGAAAGGCAAATACTTAACAGTAAGGTGGGATTGGAGGGTTTGAGAAGGAGGAGCAGTTGGGGACAGTGGTGGGATTCTACCAGTTCGGCCGAACCGGTAGTAAAAAATATTACTTTTCAGCCAAACCAATATTTCCTTTTTGTTTTTCCTCCCGATGATCAGCTGGGCCAGGATTCCCCCTCACTGTCTTATTGCTTCACCCAGGAGGCCAAAAAATGGAGCGCGGTAGGGTGCTGTGCGCCCCCACGCTCCGTTTTTTGCCTTCAAGGCCTTCAGGGAAGCCGCCTGGGAGCAAAGATGTCCCCCCAGGAGGCTCCTCTGAGGCCCAGGAGGAAAAAAAAAAACCCGGAGGGAGAGGCGCTGCATGTACACAAAAAGCCACGCCCACCCAGTCACATGGCCACGTCCACTTAGCCACGCCCACAGAACCTGTAGTAAAAAATATGTGCCTCCCACCCTCGGTTTGGGGGCTCTATGCCTACGAGGGCTGCTTCTGGGCATCTTGGAACCTCTTCTTTCCCTGCTCCCGGCAGGACCCCGATCTGGAGATGCAACGGAAGGCCGAGCTGGCTAAGATTAAGAAGAAGAAGCTCAAGTTCCAGAGCCAAGTCCACCAGACCCTGCAAGAGAGACGGCAGAAGCAGCTTCAGCACAGGCTGAAAAAACGGGCACGGCGGCAGAAGCCGAAGCCGGCGGGGGCAGCAAACTGAGGCCGCTCGTCCTCCCGCCTTGGTGGCAAAGGACCCTCGTGGGGAACAATCCGCACCTGAGCTGCCTCTGCCCCAAATTTGCCTCGCGCAAAACTTTGTTAACTTTGGCCCTTCTGCGAATGGACCTGAAGCATCGGGTGCAAAAGTCTCCGGAAAAGAACATTAGGCAAGTTGGAGAAGTTGCTTGGCTGCCTAGAGACCGAGGAATGTCTCTTTTCGAGGCCGTCTCTTTTCCAAAAAACGAGACTTTCAGTTGGGCTGAACCCTTGGGAGACAAAAGTTTTCAAGTCTCACCAGGCAGTTGCGCCACCGAGTAAAGGTTGGTGATTTAGGGGTGGATCCTTTCGATGGGAGCAGGCTCTGTTTTGGGGGGGTCACCCAAGAATCTCATGGCCATGCCAGGCATACGCTGGCTAGTAAACCGTGTGCTTTCAATAAATCCCTCTCTATGATGAAGGGGAAAGACGAGGCTTTAAGTGTTTTATGCAAGCCTGGC